AACTTCATATCTAATATTGCATTATAAATAATATTGGTAAGTTAATTATGGTATAATATTTACATTATAAAAAAGGGAATTGATTATGAGGAAATCTTCTCGCATGTAGTCATGCTCAATTCCATCAGGATTCTTTTGGATATTGCTGCACATATAAATTAGGAGATCTGGAAGATGGATATTAAGATAGTTTTCCTTAACGAAAATCTCCATGAACACATATATATGCAATAACCAGAGGGTTTCGTCGCAGAGGGTCTGAACATCTAGTTTGTTAGCTGAATCAGTTCATTTATGGGCTGAAGAAAGCTTCAAGGTCTTAGAACATCCGGTCCGATGAGGTGACCCAGTAGTACGGGTTCACTCATTGTCTAGATGAGCACTGCATTTAAAAGAAATGTAACAGATACATAGTGGTGTTTTTTGTATTGTACGTAGAAGACATCATTCTCATTGAAAACAATGTAAAGGTGATGTCAGACGTAAAAGTATGGTTGTTCGAGAGTTTGATATGAATGATTTAGGAGAAACATGATACATTCTCGGAATCAAGGTGGTTCGATACCGCGAGAAGAGGATGTTGTGTTCATCCCAATCTTCATACATAGATACTGTCATGACTCGTTTTAGCATGCAAGGTTCCATGAGAGGATTATTACCTTTTCGACATAGGATTCCACTATCTAAGGAGATGTCACTCAAGAAGCCTCTCGAGATAGAGGACATGAGAGGGATTCCTTATGCATTGAAAGTGGGAAGTTTCATGAATCCGTTGCCCTGTACGAGGACAGATATCCCGTTATGCAGTAGGCATGGTGAGAAAATATCAAAGTAACCCAGGACAAGGTCATTGACCCGCAGTGAAGCATATTCTCAGGTACCTGAAGAGGACCAAAGACTATCTACTTGTGTACTGTTCAGACCAATTGATCCATGTGGGTTATACTGACTTTGACTTCCAGTCAGACCAGGACGAAGTAAATCTACCTCAGGGTTTGTGTTTAATCTGAGAGATGGAGCCATAATATGGAGGAGTTTCAAGCAAAAATGCGTGGCGGACTCTACCATGGAACACGGGTATGTCGCAGCTTCAGAAGCAGCGAAAGAGGTTGTATGGCTCAGGAACTTCCTATTGGACTTAGATGTGGTGCCGAATTTGGCCAAAGGTATTTAAATTTACTATGATAACGCTAGTCCAGGAGCGAACTCGAAGGAGCCACGAGCCCATAAGACGAGTAAATATAAAGAGCGCAAGTACCACCTGATATGAAGAATCTCAGGAACATGAGACATCGTGGTTGCCAAGGTAGCATCAACAGACAACCTAATGAATCCTTTTACAAAACGTCTGTTCAAAAGACACGTAGAAGGAATGAGAGTAAAACGTTCGGCGATAGGATCGACATAGGTTATAGAGAGTAAGGATTGAAAGATGTATACTAGGAAGCTTTAAGTATAGTGAGAGTTTGTTAGTGTATATCCTAAAAGCATGGATTTTTTTGTTATATACATTGTTTCTTGTTGAATGAGATTCATGTTTAATTAAACAATTCTATGTTCTAATTTTTTACATTTAGACAAGTATGGTTCATCACGGATGGACAAAAGACTGGCTACTTGTAAAACATAAATAATTAATTCACCACCTAAATGGAAAAGAACGACTCATCTCTGTTTTGATAGAATTGTAAATGTTGTACAGCGTATCGGTCAAACAATTCATTACATAATTTCTACACAAAAAAATATGAATGATTCCATGAGCCAAATGCACTAACTGCTTGAATATCCAGATTTCTCGCAACTTTGAAGGATTTCCCGTCAAGAACCTCGCAAAATTTAACGTAGTGATAAAACATCATCTTTTGCTGCCAACATTTGAAATCAAAACTGTAAAATTTTTCCAATTTATCAGCATGATTCACCCGAACAATAACCGATATTAATCACCAATAACATTTTGCTCAGTGACCATCTATTAATCGAATTTGTTTTAAGATTATACGGAACTTTATTGAGAGAATGAATATAAGATGACTATTTAATATAATACCAAGGCCTGTAAGAACAGATGATCTTTAAAATAAATTCGCCTCGTATGAGCGTCTGTTTCCCTAAATACAATAGCAAAACCGAATAAAATCATGCGAATTGGAATTATACCTGGACCAAAACACTATAGTATGAAAAATTGAGAAAAGGACTTTAAGAACTTATTTTCTTTTTTTCCTATGTGTTTTCTTCAAAATAAGACAGACCTCCTTATATGGTCTAAGATAGCCACATTAATCAATACATCCATGCCAGATAAAACCAACAAATAACTGACATAATTAGGGATTTCCTGCGGTGGTTTTTCTCAAGATTTAAATCTTTGCTTTTTACTTGCACGAGATGGTTTGAGATTAAAAAAAATTTACATACATACACACACACCAAATTGTGATTTGAAGACGCTAGGGCATGAACACCATCATATTTAGGAGTCCATGCAAAGATTCGACAATCATTCGACTCTTTTCAATTGAATTTTAATATTTATTCTATATAGCTAATAGTTGACATCCTTACAGCCCACTGCCTACTTGTCCTTTTAGTATTTTTTGTTTTATTAGAGCATCTCCAATGGTTGAGCATCTATTTTGAGATGAATGGTGTGAAGAAAGAGAATAAAAATATTTTGTCTCCAATGGTTAACGTCAATTGTTGCATTATTTGACACATGTAAAATAATAATTGGTTGGTGGAGAGAGAAATATAAAATAAAAATATAATATATGGTAGAAGATGTCTAGAAGTCTTTCTACATCTAGAAAGACTTGCTACATCAGATTTTTGAAGTTATGTGGCAATGAATTAGAGCAATCCATGTATCATTGGAGATGCTCTTAAAAAGCCCCAAGTTGAGATTGACAATAAGAACATTATCAATATGGTTCGACACGAACATCATAGATGGCAATATATTGAGGAGAATAAACACGAACATCATAGATGACAATATATTGAGGAGAATAAAGGAGCTCTTGTACCGTCATTGGGTGATGGAACTTACTCATGGATATTTCGTCTACCCTTCTTGTACCAAAAAAAAAAAAAAAAAAAAAAAAAAAAAAAGGCCCCAAGATTTGAAAAACAAATACCAACTGTACAAGTTCTGCAAAGCAAAAATGCAAAGAAGAAATGCAGGCTGCCCGGTCTGTTCGGTAGCCGTCGAAACAATGTTGCACGTACTCCGGGACTGTGCTGTTGCACAGGCCACTTGGCGGGAGTTGGTTCCGCAAGACCGATGGAGTAGATTCTTTTCTTTAGACCTGCGGCTGTGGGACTCTGAAAATTTAAATGGCAGCTTGGTTCCAGAGGCCGACGATTGGGCGACTTCTTTCGGTGTTACGGTGTGGAGATTGTGGCGGTGGCAGAATCTTAAGGTGTTCGAAGGCGAAGATACTACCTTGTTTCGCCGGCTTGGCGAGATCCGGTCTTTTCTGGGGAAAATCCGTTGTGCTCAGGCGGCTAGCAGCAAGTTACACGCGGCGGTCTCGACTGAAAACCGATGGATATCGTGGTCTTTTCCGGCGGTGGGGGAGCTCTGATGGTAGTTTTATCCCATCGACGGGGATGGCTAGTGTTGGAGGGGTCGTTCGGGACCATGATGGCAACTGGGTTCGGGGTTTTGTCATGAATATTGGGTTCTGCTCGATCATGGGAGCCGAATTATGGGGATTGTTGCAGTGGTTAATTGGCTTGGGATATTGGAGCGCGAAAAATCACGGTTGAGGTGGATAATCAAAGTGTTGTCGAGATGGTCCAACATGACGACACTTCCGGACCGCATGGAAGGCTTGTGAAATGCATTAAGGATCTCCTACGTCGACAATGGAGTGTGACACTCACTCATGGCTATCGTGAAGCTAACTTTCTAACGGACTTCTTGGCATCGTTGGCGGCAAAAGGACCGGGCAATTTGCATATATTGGAACGGCCTCCTCCGAGAGCGGGGTTATGGTTACAACATGATAATGCCGGTGTGTCACATCCTCGTCAGGTGTTGACGTAAGCGGGATATAAGCTTTGCCCCCTTTTTTGTACCAAAAAAAAAAAAAAAAAAAAAGAAAATGCAGAGAAGAAAATGTGTTCCAAATTAGTAAAATTCATCTATTTCTCTCTATTTTTTATTCAAATTAATGGAATTTAGAATTTTCATTTTTAAATATCTCATCTTCGAGGTCCAAAAAATTTTCTCAACTCAAATTTCTCCAAGCAATCGCCAAAACCCTCATCCGTTATTTTTTAGTTGAATGTAAATTAAAAATCTCATTAACAACTGAACATAATATAATTTTCTAAATTTAACTAGGATTAACAAAACATCCATTTTGAGCATAATTTTTCGTATCCAAGCACGCCCCTAGTGTCCAAAACTCCATATTCCAAACTTCATTTTTACCAACACAAACAAGGGCCAATACTTTTCCAGAACCTGATGCATGTCTCAAGTTATTTGAAGGGAAAATATTTTTCAACAAATTTGCATACTTTCAAACTAAGATATCATACTCGAAAAAAAAAAAGAATACTTTCGAGACCCAAAAAGAATCAAGCTGAAGCACTTTACCGAAAGGGTATCAATGTATGGCACACACTATCTTGGCCCCGAAACTCAAAGCAGGCAAGAGCTGGTTTTCGTACCATTCAATTTTTCACTATCTGCAGCTGTTTAAACTTTACTGAGAGGCAGTACTTGAGCCAATCAGCTCGGCCAGCTGCAATTTACATCTTCGAGCGAATAAAAAAAACGAACAAAAGAAAAAAACAAATACCGTATGCTTTACAAGCCAAAAAAGTAACAATCTTGAGAAGTTAATTATAATATAATCTGAAGAACAGAACCACAACACCACAAATCCATATCCTAAGACAGGTTAATAAAATGAAACAAGCCAAACTGTCCGAACAACATCAAGAAAAAGATCAGCCAAACAACTGATTTAATTTAATTTTTTTTTTTTAAAAAAAAAAAACTCCAACCGCATGTCAAAAATGTGATCTCGATATCCAGGATGCTCCACATACAAGTAATCCTCTGAGACAAGGAAACAATATTACATCAGAATCCAGATATTGTAACAAAAACTTTGGCTTAGAAATACTGATATGCTGTACACGAATATGCTTCTTCATCAAGCAAAAGAAGTACAAAGCAAACCCCAGCACGAAGAAAAAATTCTCACACAATTTCAGAAACAACACTTTCATCCATCATAAAAGTACAAAAGCAAATCCCAGCATAAAAAGGAAAACAATTCTCACACACCATTTTCAAAACACCAAACAGGAACTAGTAAGAGAAAGGAAACCAAAGAAAAAAAATTAAATAAATAAACAATGTAAGACAAAAGAATAAATATAGAGAATTTGCAACACGAATACCTCGATCTCACTAACGTCTGTCTGTTTTCCCCATCTTACGCTTTCCAGCGAATAAATGCTTTGGCCTCAGTGTAGGAATAACCCTGTCTGCCTCACCCTTACGCGCGTCCTTATTCCTCTTCTTGCTGGAGCCCTTGGCCATCTTGATCGCCTTTATCTTCTGAGTGCTATCCTTGAGCCCTTCTCCCGGCACAACCTCGCCTGGCGGCCTCGACTTGGATCGGGAGGCCGACCTCGACCTCAACCTCATCCTCTTGCTCAACTGCCCACCACCCTCCTCATCCAATTCCATCAAGTTACCACCATCCTCGTCCCTAACCACAGACCTCTCCCTCTTGCGGCCCCTCGATTTGCTCCTTGCCCTCTCGATTGCTTTCCTTGGGTCCAGCCCCAGGGACGACAACTGCCTCCCCATCCTCTCAGCCGTAAACTTCTTATCCTTGTCGAATTTCCTTGGCACGATCGGGCGGCTCTCAGCCGTGCTCTTCTTGATCCTGTGCTCCCGCACAAGCAACCCCTTCTTTTTCCTGATCTCGGCAAGTGCTGCCTGTTCTTCGGGGGTCAGCTCTGCCCCGTCCATCTCGAAATCGTCCTCTTCCTCTAAACCCTGGAGGGCACCCTCCTCTCTCTCTAGCTCCTCCAGCCGCATTAGTATATCGGCATCAATAAAATCGGCCACGTTGTGCCCGTCGAGAATTTCCGGAATGGGGTCCGATTTCCATTCGTCGTTTGCCAACAGGTAGTTCTTAGTCAGGCTGGCCGAGTACACACCCGCACCTCCATTCTCATTCTCGAGATCCTTCTCCAGCTTCCTCTTCTCCTTCTTGGCATTTTCCTCGGCCTTTTTGGCCTGCATTTCCAGGACGGCTGCCGGTATGCAGACGGGCCTCTCCTTCCCGTCCCGTGGCTTGGGCATGGCCACATGGAAACGGTTCCTGCAGTCCATCAGCTTCTTCGAGTTCATTTTCGACTCCACCCTCTGATTCAATAGCCTCTCGCAGGCCGCATTTTTTACAGCAATCACACCTTCCTCTGTTAGCGTACTCATGGTCAGCAGCACGTCCTTCTCATCCGTGGCTTCACCTCCATGACCCACAACTGTTTTCATGGCTTCCGCTTTCATATCCATAACCAACTTCATGTCATCTTCTGTAATCCCTTCCAGAGGCTGCATGTCGATCTTGTTGCACACAATTATCAGAGGTTTTCCCAGGAAGAGCGACTTTATGCTGTGGAAGAGAGCCGCCTGCTGGGCTATGCTGTACCCACACGAGCCCGAGATGTCGAGAAAGAACAAGACAGCGGCCCTCAGGTGGGCCAGTGCTGTGATGCTGCACATCTCGATGATATTACGGTCCTCGAAAGGCCTGTCGAGAATACCCGGAGTGTCTATTACCTGATACCTCAGGTATTTATAGTCAGTGTGGCCAACAAACAAAGACTTGGTGGTGAATGCGTAAGGCTGCACGTCGACATCGGCCCTCGTGATTTTGTTGATGAACGAGCTCTTGCCAACATTTGGGTAACCGCAGATCAAGATGGTTCGGGTGTTTGGGTCAATCGAGGGCAGTCTGGCCATATGCTGCCTAATCTGCTCTAGATAGGCCAGGCTGGGCCCAATTCGTTTGATGACAGTGCACATGCGCCCAAGTGCTGCGACTTTGAGTGACTTGCACCGGTATAGGGAGTCGCCGTATTTGAGAAGTCTCACATAGTCCTTGGCTATCTTCTTGATAAGATTCATGGCAGTGTTGATCTGGCCAAGTGCGAGCTTGTAGTGGTCCTTGTTGTAGAGGACATGTAATAGGTCGCCATAGAAAGGGTGGATGTCTTCAAGTCTGGGGAAGTCATCAATGATGGTAGAGAGCTTCTCGGAAAAGTTCTGCTCGGTGAACTTGACCTTGCGCATGTAGAATTGGCGGAGGCGAGTTATGGCGTAACCTTTGTGGACCACAGTGGGGGTCCGGCGCTGGGTACGTGAGAGGATAATGTCAATGAAGTCCTTCCCATTGGGGACCACGGTGATCTTCTTGAAATTGTACTGAACCATGTCGACTTTTTGTATTCAACACTGCATATATGGACAATGTTAAAAATAAATAAGAATACATCCAAACGGAGAAAAAATAACAGAACGGGAAATAAGATGATATGCCTGCACTTTCAACCCAAAACAAAATGATAGATCACCATGTTTTTTAATGTAGAAAATATTATAAAATACCCATTCAGACCTTCACTCATCTAATCTATGTCTCAAAAAGAATACTTATCAAGGTAATTTTGATCAACCATCATCAACTGAAGCAAAGGGTCTTATTCTAAAAATCAGATGGAAATCCAGGAAACACAATACATAGAGATACTATTCCAAATGATGGAAGAAGGGAGGGGTCTTATGTAGGTAAAACAGCATACATCTGCTGTAAAAAAACATGATCCGTCCAATAAATCATATCACATCCATCAAATAATAATTAGTCCATTGTAAAATTGTGTTGAAACAACAACAACAACAACAACAACAACAACGACAACGACAACGACAACAACAACAACAACGACAACAACAACAACAACAACAACAACAACAACAACAACAACAACAACAACAACATACCCAGTATATTCCCAACAGGTTGGGGTCTGGGGGGTCAGTTGTACGCAGACCTTACCCTTGTAATTATACAAGGAGCCTGTTTCCATAGCGAGTCGTTTGATATATTTTTTTTTCTAGAAACTTCACTAATAGAAATGGGATGATGTTTTCTGAGAAACCAACTAGATTTCATTGTTTTGTGTAACTAGAAACTAATCACAGCAATTTTGTTTGGCCACTGCCGGTCAATTTCGACAACAAAGACACAAATTAAGCTCAAATTCACCATTCGCACGAACTGATTCAGAGTACAAGAAGTGAAGAAACCAAACAAACAAACAAACAAACAAAATTACATCCATTGAAAACAAATTAAATTGTAATATATGATTAAAATCTGAAGCAACACTAAATATTTGCTGTTTAATATCAAAACAGCCCACGAATGGTTAAATGAAAAATAATGGCACAGACGAAAGAACAAGAGGTAATATGACCCTTACATTGAAGAGAGCTTCGAGGGCTCCACCGCCCGGCGTTGGTAGGCGGAGAAATGGAAGAGGGAAGGAAGTGATGGAGGGTTTTGTAGGTTTAGCGGCGGAGTCTATATATGGTGTTAACGCTGTCGTATAGGTCTGGACACAACAGGGAAAATCTCAAGAGTAGCCCACTATTGAGGTAAGAGTTAATTAGTTGGGCCTAGCCCATATTTAGATTTTGGTAGGTCCGTTTCAGCCTTAAGCCCATATAATTTAAGTTAGGGTGAGCAGATGATGGCCTCGGCTCAAATCAAACTGAACAGTTAAAACACTGAGGCCCTGCAAAATAATCGAACCAAAAGTTTGAAAAATTGCTACTAGACGAACCGAAGCATTTTTTATTACATAAACATTATACAACTACGCGGTTGTTTGTTAAAAATAATAATAATAATTATTTGAAAATAAGTCAATCAATATATAGTATAAGTGGACGAATTTATTTTTAGTATTTGATTGTTTGATTTTTTTTATGGAAAATAAATTAATCAATAGATATAAAGTGAGTAAATATATTTGGGTTATTTGATAATTGCTTTTTTTTTTTTTTTATGTAGGCAATTTGCTGTGGATTTACTCAATATATAGTATTTTTTTTGTCTCAAATGCGAACACCACTATATTAGTTTTTTTATTTTTCTTTTTCTTTTCTTTTCTCTTTTTTTTTTTTTTTTTTTTTTTTTTTTTTTTTTTTTTTTTTTTTTTTTTTTTTTTTTTTTTTGCGTGATTCTCAATTTGTATTTTGAGTTTTTGTATGGAATTACCATAATAAAATTGTTCGTAATTTCGACAAAATAATATGCACAAATATTTTGATATAATATGTGTGTCTAAATATATTTTTCATAGAATATATTTTAGTCAATTTTTTATTTGTATAATCAGTGAGTCTCGATTTAATTCATTATTTATCACGACATCTATATATATATAATTACTAGCTCTTCTACATTTAAAAAACCTCATAAATTATACTCAGGTGGCACTTTTACATTTTCCCTCCAAAAACCGTTACTTTTCATTTATTTAACCTAATTAATAGATAATCAATACACTAATCAATTTAAAATACAAAAATCATTTTCAACTTTTGATTACTAACAGTTAAACATATAATGTGTTACCGTATAATGTGATTAGATATTATTATTGTGGTTACATGTAAATTATTTTTTTTTTGGAAAATTAAAAAAGTATATGAAACTCCTAAATAAATTATAAATAATTTTTTAAAAAATACATACCAAAATGTACGTTACATCCAATCTAATAAACGCAATTTAAAAAAAAATCAACTCCTTTAATTGTAAATTTGGCTGAAAAAACGTGGAAGAAAAATAATTAATCATTATATGCATGCAAATAACTCACAATATTTTATTTACATTTGTGCAAATGCACAGGTAGAATACTAGTTTCAAATAATTTTTCATGCGAAATGCATGTTCAATTTTTTTTAGCATGATAAAGAGTGTCTCGATTTTTTTTGGTATAAAAAATCTAAACAATAATATGACTGGTTGGTTTAGAATAAATGAGTGTCTCCACTTTGTTTTTTTTTTTTTTTTCAAGCTTCGGATTTGATATTTTTGGAGCGGATCAGAACAATAATATGCCTGATATTTTTTGTATAAATGATTGGAGTAGAAGTCAAAATTCTAATGAGATCTTACAAAATTAACATTGTATGTCGTATTAATTAATTTTTTTAAAAAAAAATTAAATTTCCTTTCACAATGGCCAAATTCGTGAAACAGCCAAAAAATACACGAGATCTACACAAAAAAAATAATAAAAAAAATTTGATTCAATATACTCGATATAATCAAATTATTAATTGATTAGCAAATCAAAAGTAATTATTGCATAACCACATTGCAAATCACCAGTCGATTAATTTGTAGTATATAAATAAACAAATACGGAAAAATGTAATAGGATAGATTAACAAAAAAAAAAAAAAAAAACGTGTGAAATGCTTAGAGTAAATCTTTGTCATTACAAAATAGAATAAATGTTATTTGCACACATTTAAAATGACAATAATCATAGGCAATTTATTCCCTTTGTTAAAATATTTTCATATCAAATATTTATGTTATTGATCTAAAATATACTTTGTTCCTTTTTCGCTATAGATTCAGTGTAGATCGATGTGGTCTACTCATCCTAGTTTCAATTTAACTTTTTGTTACACAAATACATGATTTATATTGATTTAATTCAATTAAGCATAAAGTGTGAATTTAGCTTGATCAAGGATGTCCCTAGAACTAAGAAGCTACCCATGAAGTTGCGTAGATTTGAATAATTGAACACAAATTTGAGGTTGGATCAAGAATTACTTGAAAATCCTATTTCACGATGAGGACTTCCGACAGATCCTCCCAGTTATTTCAAGGGGGAGTCGTCGGGATATTGTGAATTAATGTTGCAATTAATTTTTCCGACATATGGGCTGACTGTACTGTGTTGAGGCTTACAAAAAATATGCTCATTAAGATCATTGGTGATTCGAATGAACACCATAAGCTAACTGCTTTTGCAAATTGAATAATGAGCATCGGAGATGGAACCATTAGGGTATCAAATGATGGATCTGCCTTGGTAGACGTACTTGATGATATATTATTCGAGTCTACTGATAATTCTATTGTTGCAATTGTTGAGAGCACACATCTAATATTTAAAGATGCAAATCATGATCCTAATTATTTAAAAGATAATGCTATAATAGCCACAACGTTGGAGGCGGTTGAGCGTATCAATGCATTCATGACGTCTTTGAACGTAATTGATGGTCAAACATACTTGAGCTCTGATAGTACGTGAAAATCTTATCCAAATAATATTTTTTGTCCGATCTCCACATCCTCAAGTTTTTGAATACTATCAAATATTCTAGATTGCTGAAACATTGAAACTTAAGATATGAACCACAATCATGTTGTTGCGGAACATTGACCATTCAATGTAGTTTTGCAATGATACGAGATTAGTAGGGTTGAAAACGGACGGAATTTTTCCCGGAATTTCCCGCCCGTTTTTCTACATTTCACCTGTCCGGTTTCGTATTTTCGGAAAAATCCGGAATCGGACAGAATACAGTAAAGGGGTTGTCGGAATACGGACGGAAGTAGAAACAGAATTTTTCCGTCTGTATTTGTGAAATCCCGTATTTTGTCGGAATAATTCCGGATTAGTACCGGATTTCACCCGGATGTCAGGTCCATTAACATATTCAATTTAAAAGGCCCAAGCCCAACAGTCAATAGCCCATTAAAAATACCCTAATACCTTGTCCATGTCCGCCTAATATTCCCCATTCCCTCCAGTCCACGCCAGCCGCCACCTCACCCTCTCGCAGTCGCGCGGTCTCGCCTCCACACCACCCGGCCACACTCCAGGCAGTCGCTGGTCGCCGCCCTAACGCCTTCACGCCGGTCCTGCTGAGTTCGACCATGTCAAATCTTGCTCGTTCCAACTCGTTGCCGGCAGCTCGTGGTAGAGGAAGTCGTGCCTTCTCGATGCCGCCGGACAAGCATCTCGGTTTGGGGACCATGTTGCCAGACCCGCCGGAGCCAGCACCTTCGATTAAAGACAGCAGCAGCGGATCCATTACTGGTAAGCACCGTTTTCCCCCCTCTATCTCAGAGTAATCTCAGAGTCTGTAAGTGGTAGGAACGATGACCTATAGTGTGTGTAGTGTAGATGACCCGTTCTTGCATTCTGATCTGTTAGGAATGATGACCTACATTCTGATCTACAAATTTATAAGAATTTTATTGTTGTTTTGATAGGAAAGGTGAATGCCGGTGTGTCGTCGACATCATGTTCAGTGGCACAAAATAAAGACACAGTCCCTCCGAACCAAGAGGCAAATCATTTAAGAAATGAAGAAATAATTGCCCTTGACGATGAGGATGCTGAGGCTGAGGGAGAGGAGGTTGGTGGGACAACAGGAAAGAGGAAGAAAAGGTTCACATCTGTTGTGTGGCAATATTTTACCAAGAAGACAGTGGTAGTAGAGGTTGACGGCAAGAAGTATGAGCAACTGTGGGGCTACTGCAACTTCCCAAAGTGCAGCGCTAGGTACAGAGCCGAGTCTGTCAATGGAACAAATGCATTTCGGAGCCATTTGAGATCAACCCACAGCATTGTAAAAGGTTAGTTGCAGCTCAAGACTGAAAGGGACCGTGGAAAAGATGTAACTTTAGTGCAGGCTTTCAAGTATGACCTTGAAACTAGTATCAAAAAATTCTATTTGGCAATAATTATGCATGAATACCCGTTCAATATGGTTGAGCATGAGTACTTTGTTGATGCCCTTAAGTCTTTGCGTCCAAACTTTGCCTTCAAGTCAAGGGTCACTGCTAGAAAAGATATAATGGACATGTATACATAAGAAAAAGATAAGTTGTATGATCTCATGAAAAAAGTGCCATCTCGCTTTAGTGCAACCATGGATGTATGGACATCATGTCAGAACAAAAGTTACATGTGTGTGACTTTGCATTGGATAGATGATGATTGGAAAATTCAGAAGAGGATTGTGGCTTTGTTTCATCTAGAGGGACGACACACTAGTCATAGGTTGGCACAGGCCTTTACTGAAGTATTGGTCAAATGGTTTGTTGAGAAGAAAATGTTTGTCTTGACTTTGGACAATGCATCAAATAATTTAGTAGCAGTCACAGATATTATTGAGGATTTTAAACTGAATGGAAATGGTTCTTTGGTTTGTGATGGCATATTTTTCCACATTAGATGTGCATGCCAAATACTTAACTTGGTTGCTAAAGATGGGATGGCTGTTATTTCAAAACAATTAGAAAAGATCAAAGCATTGGTATTGGCTCTGAAGGGCTCTCCCTTACAATGGGAGGAGCTTATGAAATGTGCTGCTCAGTGTGGGTTGGATACATCAAAGGGCATTCAACTTGATGTGTCAACTAGATGGAACTCAACTTATATGATGCTCCGAGATGCACTGTACTACAAGCCTGCTTTCATTAGGCTCAAGATTGCAAATCGCCGTAAGTATGGGAAAATTTCTCCCTCTGATACTGATTGGGGCATGGCTGCTACAGTATTTCAATGCTTGGAAATTTTTTATGATCTTACTGCACTGCTTTCTGGTACCTCATATCCCACTGCAAATCTATTCTATAGAGGCTTTTGTGAGATAAGAGAGTTACTTAGTGTATGGAAGAATCATAAGAACTTGACTATTAAGCAAATGGCTACTGCCATGAGTGAAAAGTTTGAAAAATATTGGAGTTGTTCTAGTACAAGTCTTGTTGTAGCATGCTTTTTTGATCCTAGGTATAAAAAGAAGGATATAGAATTCTATATGATGAAGTTTGCTGGTGCCTACTATCAAGTTCAACTTGAGGAGTTTATTGCTCTTGTGAGGAAGTTGTACCAATTTTATAGTGCTTCTAAACCTGCTTCTTCAAGTCCTAGTGTGGTTGTGGATGCCCCAGGAGAAACATTTGGTGCCAGACGAAATTCTGAACTAGAGAGCTTCTTATATGATGATTGTGGGCCTAATGGAAATGAGTTAAATGAGTTGGACATATACATGGCAGAGCCACTGTTGAAGCAAGATTCATTTGATATTTTGGCATATTGGAAGAACCAAACAGACAAGTACCCTATTCTTTCACAGATTGCTCGTGATTTGATGTCCATACAAGTGTCCACAGTTGCTTCTGAGTCTGCAGTTAGTGGTGCTGGACGTGTGCTTGATCCTTATCGTAATCGTCTTGACCCTGAAATGGTAGAAGCACTTGTCTGCACCAAGGATTGGATACATGCAAGAACAAAAGGTACTATTTTTCTAAATTGTTTAGCTAAACTGTCCTAATTGGTGCTGTACATGTACTGACCCCATCTTTTTTTTGTCTTTTTAGGTCGTCAATGCATTCCATCCATAGTGGCTGATCTGAAACCGGATGACACCATGGAGGAGGAGCATGTCTCCCTAAATGATGATAGTGAAAGTGATCCTGATGAGATGGATTGATATAGCCATACTGACGTGCATCGGTTCAGTAACCGCGGCATTGTCACGATTGGCTCATAACGGTTCATATCGTCACGGTTTGAGATTACCGAGTCGACTTCATCAAGGTCGACTCTATTAGTAAGGTTCCATGATACTCAGTCAAGAAGCCCGGCTCTCGACCGAGTCAATGTACACCTATCGACTAGAGTAAGTCGACTTCTGGTAAGAAAACGGTCAGACGTATTAGGGTCTACTAACAGTTGAGTGCGACCCAGTCGACTCGACGTAATGTCTCAGGTCGACTGAGGGAGTTGTAGCTCGTGGTGCCCGATAGCTTTGACACACCTCAGCATATTGAAGAAGAGTTAAGGATAAGAAGGAAGCTCAGGAAGGATCTAGATGCTGACTAGGAAGTAGGCGGAATATGAACCGACCGGGGTATTCTGGACATTTCTATTAAGTCGGCCGGGGCATTTTGGGGACTTCAGGTATATATTGTACTCCTATATAAAGGACTGAGGTAATCCCAAAACCCTAACTCCCATTCATTCCATATCCTTTTCATTACTGCTGCTGCTCTGATAGCAGCCATCATCACCTCTCTCAGATACTGACTTGAGCGTCGGAGGCTCTACGCCGGAAACCCCTCCGGCGTTGAGTTCTTGCAGGTGTTCTTGCGGCTCACAACAACGGTTCGATCGCCATCACATCAGATCTAAGCTCATCCGTACCGGTTCGTCCCAGATCCGGACGTTTTCTCATTAGACCGTTCCAGATCTGAGAAGAAACCCATCATTTGGCGCCGTCTGTGGGGAGCTCTTGAAGGAATTAAGAGCTTTACACCTAGCTTGGATCTGTTTTCGATGGCTGAGAAGGAAGGAGTGCAGAAAAACTTGAACGAGGACTTCAGGGCAACATGGACGGACAAGCGACCTCCGCCGATTCCCAGCTTTAGACCACCGCTTCAGGTGCTGGGATTCCCACCTTTTGGGGCACACGCGCCGTCAGGAGGGCGTACGGGGGAAGAGACGCCTATTACCCCACCCGGAGTCAAGATCCCGGTTCTCACGCAGGGAGAGACCAGCCACGTGAGGAACACGAGCGGAGAGACAGGTGATCACGCATCAACCGAAATCTCTCTAAGGATGGGGAGGCAGCCTGGGCGACTCGACCAGGAGGTAAGGCCACCGCCCCAAAGCGAGGAACAAATGGTGACCATGACGAGGAGCGAGATGCAAAGAATGATCGCAGAGGCAGTGGCGGCCCAACTCAAACGGACACCAGTCGAGCAACCAAGAGTCGAGCAGCCCAGGGTCGAACAAGCGAGGGTTGAACAACTCCAAAACGAACAGCAGCCCCCTGAGCGCGAACAGCAGGCGCAATCGCATGAGAGGCAAAACAGGAGGATAGACGAGGAGGAGTCCTCTGTCAGAACCGTCAATCCCCAAGCCAGAAACGACACACTGGAACAGCTGTTAGCGCAGGTCCGAGACTTGTAGGCTCGGGTCGAAGGAAGAAAGACGGGAAGCTCAAGGGGACACCCTTTTTCACAACATATTCTAGATGCCGACCTGCCTCAAGGCTTCAGGGAGCTTAACATCTGGTATGATGGGTCGACTGACCCCTCCCGACATCTTAGAAGCTTTGAAAACATGGCAGTACTACATCGATACAACGACCCCGTTCAGTGCCGAGCATTCCTGACAACCCTGCAAGGGCCCGCGCAGGATTGGTTTCACCAGTTGCCCCCGGGGGCCATCAGGGATTTCGACGGGTTTAGCTCGAGTTTCTTAAACCAATTTGCAAGTGTCAAAGCCCAAGAAAAGTCGTACCTTACTCTGATAGGTATGCAGCAGAAGGAAGGGGAATCACTAAGGGACTACGTGGCGAGGTACACAAGGGCGTGTGTCGATGTCCCCTCGGCCACTGAGGAGATCAAGTCGGGAGGACTCACTCGAGGGCTACTCCCGGGATTGTGCAGAAATTCCCTAGCAAAGCGGCCCGGGAGGACGTTTGATGAAGTTCTGGGAAGGTGCGCCAAATACATGAATGTTGAGGAAGCTGAAGCCGACTTTCTGCAAGCGGCTAAGCCAAAAACTGAGCCTCGGGATGAGAAGAAGGATAAAAAGCTGGTCCCAACAGCTGAAAGGAAAGAATCCCCAAGAGCCGAGAGAGAGGGGCGACCAAGGGGGTGGAGAACAACCCAATATACTCCTCTGTCGGCCTCGCGCGTAAGAATACTGGAGGTTATGGAGAGAGAGATCCGCGACAACGTCGTCAGGTGGCCACAAACGAAAAAGGACGGGCCGACACAACCTAAAAGTAACCTGTATTGTCGATTCCACAAGGACTATGGCCATAACACCGATGAGTGTCGGCACTTGAAAAATGAGATAGAGAGACTAATCAAAGCAGGTCATCTGAAGGAGTTTGTTTATAAAGATCGAGAACGGCCCAGTCGGCGAAGGGAGAGGAGCAAAAGTCCTCGCAAGAGGGCGAGAACACCCGATAAGGAAGAGCTTCCCCAAAAAAGAGGAGTAATTCATATGATATTTGGAGGACCAACCGATGGCGATTCAAACAGGGCTAGAAAAGCATATGCTCGAGGGCATCATGGAAAAACCGAAGTGCAGCAGGTCGAAGAAGATAGTCCGGTGATGAATTTCGGACCAGCCGACATGAGAACAGTCGAGAGGCCTCATAACGATGCCTTGATGATCACAGCCCAGATATCGGGCTACGAAGTCCAGAGAATCTTCGTCGACACAGGAAGCTCAGTGAATGTGATCTTTTTCGATTGCCTTAAACGCATGGAACTCGACATTGAACTCTCACCCCTTCACACTTCACTTTTTGGATTTAATGGCTCAGAAGTCGCCCCCCTGGGTGAAACTACTCTCGCTGTCGTCCTTGGGGAAGGCGACTTAAGGAAGGTAAAAATGGTACGCTTTGTTGTGGTCGACGTCGAGTCGGCTTATAATGTGATTCTGGGAAGGCCAACGCTCAACGCATTCCAAGCAGTGGTGTCAACCTATCATATGAAGCTGAAATTCCCAGTTGGAAATAGGGTAGGAGAGGCCCGAGGCGACCAGAGGCTGTCAAGAACCTGCTATCAAATAGCAGTAAGAACAAATCAACGAACGGAGGGGAAGGAAGGAAAAAAGCCGATGGTAAGCGAAAAGAGGCCAAGGAATTCTGATCTCGAACCCCACGGGGAGTTAATGGAAATACAAATTGGAGAAACAAAGGAGCAGACCACTAAGGTCGGGAAAGATCTGGAAGCCGAGCTACGAAACCAGCTGATCGCACTATTAAGGGAGTTCAGGGATGTCTTTGCCTTCACCCCTGAAGAGTTGACAGGGATCGACCCCGCTGTCATGGAGCATAAACTCAATGTCGACCCCCTCAGAAAACCAGTAAAACAGCGACTTAGACGTCATGGGGAAGAGATCGACAAAGCGATTGAAGTTGAGGTGGATAAATTGCTGCGGGCAGGGCATGTCAAAGAAATCCAATTCCCCGAATGGATATCCAACACTGTGATGGTAAGAAAGGCACTAAAAAAATGGCGCATGTGCATCGATTTCCGGGACTTGAACCTGGCCTGCCCAAAGGATCATTACCCTTTACCACGAATTGATCAGCTTGTCGACTCTACGGCTGGTTGCGAGCTGTTGAGCATGATGGATGCATCGCAGGGATACCACCAGATCCCGTTATGCCCGGAGGACCAAAGTAAGGTGAGCTTCGTGACGAGTAAGGGGACGTATTGCTATGTCGTCATGCCTTTTGGGCTTAAGAATGCAGGAGCCACCTACCAACGGCTGATGGACCGAATGTTCAAATCTCAGATCGGACGAAATATCGAGGTATATGTGGACGACATCTTGGTGAAAAGTAAAGTCTCAGCCTCGCACCCGGACGACTTAAGGGAAACATTTCAAACTCTTAGGACATTCGGGATGAAGTTGAACCCCAACAAGTGTGCCTTTGGAGTGAAGGCAGGGCGATTCCTGGGATATGTCGTGACAGAGCATGGAATTGAGGTAAATCGGGAAAAAGTGAAGGCCATACTTGACATGGCCCCACCAAGAAGCATACGAGATGTGCAAGTTTTGACGGGACGGATTGCAGGACTGAGCAGGTTCATTGCTAGGGCCGCAGAAAAAAGCTTCCCATTCTTCAAATTGTTGAAAAAGAAGTCGACCTTTTTATGGAGTGACGAGGCGCAAACGGCTTTCGAAAAATTGAAAGAGTTTTTGGGCGAGCTGCCCTTGTTGACAAAACCAGAACCCGGCGACGAGTTAGTGCTGTACATATCTGTGGGTGCAGTATCACTAAGTTCGGTGTTGTTACGAGAAGAGGGAGGTGTCCAAAAGCCAATTTACTACACCAGTCGAGTTCTGCAGGGTGCTGAGACGAGATATTCTGAAATCGAGAAAGCCGCCCTAACATTGGTAATAACGGCTAGAAAGCTAAGGCCATATTTCCTGAACCATGTGGTGTTGGTAAGGACGAACTTTCAGCTAGGAGAGACACTGGGCCGGCCCACGGTATCGGGTCGACTCGTCAAATGGGCAGTCGAGCTGAGCGAATATTCGATCAAATACGAACCAAGACGAGCCATAAAGGCCCAGGCCCTAGCAGATTTCATCCAAGAAGGTACCAAGGGGGAAGAAAAGAGATGGGTTGCTCATGTCGATGGGTCATCGGCGGCCAAAGGATCGGGTCTTGGAATCGTTCTCGTCTCACCCGAAGGCGAGCAACTTGACTTTGCTATTAGAATGGGATTCAAAGCCTCGAACAACAAAGCCGAGTACGAAGCGCTAATCAAGGGAATTCAACTCGCAATTGGTGGA